AGTCCTCCTTCACTGAAGCAAGCAAGCCTCATGTTCCCTTCCAGCTGCCTGGCTGCCGGCCGCCATCTTGGCTGGCAGTTAATTTGCATATCTCCCTGATTAGCCAATGGGAAGGGTAGCGGTCGTACACTAATTACCATGTTTCTCTTTTATTAGATAGGATATGAAAGCTTCTAAAAAATTAAAAATAGAACTACCATATGATCCAGCAATCCCACTTCTGGGTATTTATCCAAAGGAAAGGAAATACTATCTGGAAGAGATATTTGCACCCCAATAAAAAATCTTGTCAGGTGCAAATTAAAACTAAAATATTATGGAAGGAGAAGAAGTTAAAGGGAAATTTTGGGTGGTAAAATGTCGGTAGAGTTAGGTTATAATGATCATTTAGCTCCCATAATGTTGGAACTGACTGATTCAATAATCAAAACTGGACGTTATCTCATCCAGTGTTCATAATGCTTTCGTACTAACAGTTGAATATTTCACAATGAACATTGCTGATCCAGGAAAAAACAAGTATTTCTTCTTGTTCAAAATGGCCACCTTTGCATTCATGTTTCCATACGTCTTTCTCTAACCAAGGATCAGATGTCAGCAGAATGACCTACTTGAAAGAGTGTTGACAGATGGTTGAAAGCAAACATGCCATGTAGTTTGGAGAGGTTGGTTTCTGCACTTGCCCTAGACCTACCCAGGGTGGTAGGAGCTGGGCCCTCCTGCAGAGCGGCTGGGTAATTCCAGGCCTTTTAGGTTTCTTGCCTTTGTGCATCCTGAAAGCCCGCGCTGGGGAGGTAAATCTATAATTAGGGGTTATTTAAAACAGAGATTTGTGACCTGACAGACTGCAACCTGTCTGTATCCATACATAGTGAAAACTCTTTCCAGCCCTTTGTCTGGGGGTGTGCATGGTCTATTGAAGGTTCCAGAGCTGCTTGGGCTCATGTTACATTGTCTGGGAGAAGGAAGGGTGTGTGGGACTTAATCTACTGGGTATTGGAATAGCAACTAAAAATGATACATCTTATTAGTTGTTTCATTCTTTATGCTAAAAGCAATCATCTTGAGTTCAAGTTTGACTTCAGCTCCCCTCTTTAAACCAGTGCTGAGTGCTCAGAACCTCAGGGCCAAGCTTCAAACTTAGTAAGAGGAAAGGGAATTCTTGGTGCAAGGTGAATAAAAGCTACAGGACAAGACACAATAATCCTCAACGTTCCTAACAGTCCGAGGAATTCAAAGCTCCTGAACAGGAGACTAGTATTTTAAAAATGTTTTACAGATTTAAAATTCCATCTCAATCATCCTAATTGGTAAGTATTTACCGAGTACTGTTGTATTTACAGCCCTCAAATCAAATGCTGCCTGTATATGTCAGGTATGTGCTTATGAAATGTCATTCCTTATGAGCTGTTGCTGTGTCCTGGGCCCCCATCTCTCTCTGCACATTGCATTTCCATTCATTTTGTGTCTTTCCTTAAAAATGAACAAATTTACCAGCCTATGATTAACACAGAGACATAAAACCTTTATGAGGTACCTAAAATGGCAAGGCAAACTTGCATTCCCATTTATAGAATCCTATAAAGAGACTATATATTTAAACACTACAAATATACAGGATGTCCCAAAAATGTATATACATTTTGAATAATTATAAAGGCAGTGTTTATTAAAATACATTTCATTTTCAACATGTAATAGAATCAGCTGTTAAACTGTGTATACATTTTTTTTTAAGGACACCCTGTATATATCTTGAATGACAGGACAAAATTTTAAAAGGTTTTAATATAACAGCTATGTTTTACTATGCTATAGATATGCAAAAGCAAAACATGGAGAGTAAAAATATAAAAAACACTCATGTGCCCCACCACTCACACTTACCACTTTGCCATATTGCTTCATACCATTTATTTGTTTAAAAAAGCATTAATAATAGAGTTTAAAACCTTACCCTCCCCTTTTTCCTCCATCTTTCCTTCCGCAGAGCTTACCTCTACTCTACTGTGCTTGCCCATATTTTTATAATTTCACAACTTATGTAGGTTTGGTGCTTTTAAAATTTGCATAAGGGAAATACCTTACAGAAACGTTTGCAATTTGCTCTTTCATTCAACCTTGTTAAGATTTATCTACACACCTTTTCCTCCCTGACAGCTTCAAAATGGGCTACCATCATGACGACACAGTAACTATCCAGACAAGGAAGTTCATGACCAACACAGGACTTTAGCAGAAATAGGTGGTCATTGACATCCCTCACCCTGGGAAGGCAACAGTACCGAAGACAGAAATTTGGGAAAAACTAGTCAAAATGTACAAGATGCCATCTTGGTATTTGGATTCAGAACCCATTTTGGTGGTGGCAAGATGATTGGCTTTGGCATGATTTAGGATTCCTTGGATTACACAAACAAAAATAAACCCAAACAAATTTGCACGACATGGCCTGTATGAGAAGAAGACGACCTCAAGAAAACAGTGAAAGGAACACGAGAACAGAATGAAGAAAGTCAGGGGACTGCAAAGGCCAGGGTTGGGCTGGCAAAAAGAAGTAAAAATTCTTCAGTGACTTTATCTGTGGTGATTGTGAGGCTTTTTCATGAGGATTAATAAACTAAGAACTTGGAAAAAAGAGATTTATCTACACTGATGCAAGTAAGCTATGCCATCCATTTGAATTAGTGTTCAAATCCCATTGCATGAATATACCACTGTTCATGTATCATTTCCCTTCTGAGGGGCATTTAGTTTGTTTGCAATATTTTACTAATATACAATGTTACTATGAATGAACCATCCTTCCCTCCCTCTGATCATCTCTACCTTCAGAATAATATATCTTGAACTGACCACTTTAACTTTAACTTATTCCACAAGTACCCCAGTCCAAGCCATCACTTTCTCCTCCAGGGACTCCTAAGTCTCTCTGGCTTCCACTTTTGCTCCTCTTCCGTTTATATATAGTTCACACAGCTCATGGGGTCAGATTGGATCTTTCCTTCAACAAAATCCTTCCCATCCTACCTGGGATAAAATCTAAAACTCTTCCCATGGCCAGGAAGACCCCACGTCATCTGGCCCCTCTCCCTCTCTTTCCCTTGCTCTCGATGGTCCAGCATACTGGGTTTCTGGTCACTGCTGGAATCGAACCCGAGATCCTTCATTCTGCAGGCCAACATTCTAACCACTTAGCAAACTGACCAGGGCTTATTTTTTTATTTTATTTCAAAAACAAAGATAGAAGAAAATATGCTAGGTGCAACAACTAAGTTGAACCTGCAGTGTGAAAAACTTTGTTTTAGGGTATATATCTGCAAGTGGTTTTGTTGGGTTTTACTAATCACTCTTGAATTGCTCTCTACTAACATCATTGCAGGAATTTCCTCATCTCTTTAGCCAACACCTGGTCTTATCAGGCTTTTAAATTTTTTCCAGTCTGAGTGAAACTGTATCTCCTTGTTTTAATTTGCATTTGCCTGATTACTAAAAAGACTGTCAGAGATCTGATCCTTTAAAATGTATGTAAACCAAAATTATTTTCTAGTGCCTCCGGAGGGCTAAGAATTTTCCTTTCAGAACCTTTCATAGGCAAAGGGACTTAATCTTTTACCTTATGCATTTCACAATTTCAAATTCTCATATATTTAATTTTAATGGCCCACGATTGCATGGCCAAGGACACAGCACTAACAATTTTAATTCACTCACCATTCATATAGTTGTTTATTTGCTCAACAAATATTTATTGAGGGCCCCTGCTACCGCAGGAATTTCACCAGGCAGACCAGCAGCCTCTCCAGGCGCCTACCTTGAGACAGTGAGCTCTTTGTCCCCTGCACTGTGGCACTGCGGCCCTGGGTAGGCGTTTTTAGAAAGGTGGGAAGACCTGGCGGCCAAGTTCCTTCCGATTCTTCCAATCCATTGTTCTCGTGCATTATTACTTGCTCACAAATGTTTGCATTAATTGCATTGGAAGAGAAACGGAATGTGTTCACGCATGCTCTCTTACTACAAAGGAATTATTCCAGAGAGAAAAAGTTTTGAAGGGGGAAAATGGAGTGTTTATTTCAAGCACTTGTTTTAAATGTAAGATTATAATTAGGGTCTTTTAAAACAACCCAGATTATTTTGCTTTTTCTTCTAAAAGCAATCCCCGCCCCCCCCCCCCGCCGCTCTTTACAAAATTTGTCTCTTCATTTCGTCGTAGTGTCAGATTTGAGTAAAAGAGCAATGAAAAATAGCTCACGTTCATTCTGATTTTGCTGGTTCTAATTAGGTGACGAGTGAAAAGATCTCCAAACCATGTTAGTACCGAGCTTAGCTTCTATCCAATAGAGAAGTCTTACAATGCTTTTTTTTCTAATTTAGAAACTTCACCTCTTAGGTAAGATAACTCGGTTTCCTCAGCTTGTAAGAAAGATCCGGATTTAACACATTTTGTTGCTTTAGAATAGATAATGGCGTGGCTACCAGATACGAAGTGCAAACAAGGAGTGGAATTCGTGCTTGATTCTTTGATTTGTAATAATGCAAACTGCAGGCCGCAATGGAAGTGCTCAGGGCTGAGACCCTCAGGACCCTCGCGGGTTCCCCGTAGCCCTCATCTTCATTTCTTCTCCCAGCCCGGAATTCATGCAAATCATCCTGCTAACCCCCCCAGCAATACAAACCACTTTCGCGCCGTTCGCTCAGGACCCTGCAGCAACATAAAGAGAGAAGTCCTGGAGCCCTAAAAACACCACTTTTTCAAGGCGGATTTTAGGGGACCCCAAGGAATTCACTTGAGTTCAGAATATTTAGCGAGCCTCTTTTAATTCTGGGCTGAGCGGGTCGGGCCCTCGGGCGGGCCGATACCACAGCTTGCAGGACCTGCGCT